CTAACTCTAGAAAGAGCGATACTTAAAGGAACACACGTGCCCAGTTACCCACAATTACGCACAATTATTGCGCACAATTACGCACATAGGTCCGCGCTCCATACGTTAAACCAACCAGGAAGGGCATTAAAAAATATGTAAAAAGAAGAAAACAGAAGCACCTAACTCTAGAAAGAGCGATACTTAAAGGAACACACGTGCCCAGTTACGCACAATTACGCACAATTACGCACATAGGTCCGCGCTCCATGAGGATATTTTCCCATTGATTTTCAGAGCGAGGGAAAGACAGAGAGAAACATCGATGTGAGAGAAATATATCTATTGGTTGCCTCCTGCACGCGCCCTGCTGGGCTGGGGAGGAGCCTGCCACCCAGGTCCGTGCCCTTGACCGGACTCGAACCCGGGACCCTTTGGTCTGCAGGACAACGCTCTATCCACTGACCCACACCAGGGAGGGCATTAGAAAATATGTAAAAAGAAGAAAACAGAAGCACCTAATTCTAGAAAGAGAAATACTAAAAGGAACACACGTGCCCAGTTACGCACAATTACGCACAGTTACGCACAATTTCACACAATTACGCGCAATTACGCACATACGTCCGCGCTCCATCCTTTAAACCAACCGGGAAGGGCATTAAAAAATATGTAAAAAAGAAGAAAACAGAAGCACCTAATTCTAGAAAGGGTGATACTTAAAGGAACACACGTGCCCAGTTACGCACAATTACGCACAGTTACGCACAATTTCACACAATTACGCGCAATTACGCACATACGTCCGCGCTCCATCCTTTAAACCAACCAGAAAGGGCAATAAAAAATATGTAAAAAGAAGAAAACAGAAGCGCCTAATTCTAGAAAGGGCGATACTAAAAGGAACACACGTGCCCAGTTACGCACAATTACGCACAATTACGCACAATTTCACACAATTACGCACATAGGTCCGCGCAACAGCCCCAATACACCCGCAGACCGGGAGCCCCGCGCGCGCTCGCCAAGAAAACAGTACCGACCCCAGGTTGATCCTCTCCACGTGGTTGGCGATGCCCGCGGGCACGGCTGCCAAGGACCGGAACGTGCAGTGGACCTCGGTGGGCACGTAGCAGGAGCAGGGGTGCGGGCAGGCG